ATATTGAAGAAGGGTGGCTCACACAGCTTTGATCTCACCATCGCTTGCAAGGAGATCATTCGCACGTGTACTACCCACCGAGTCCGCCTCATGATGGAGTGGATCCCTCGCGAACTCAACACACATGCGGACAAGCTTTCCAAGATCCTCGATCGCGATGATTACACGCTGAAAACGCCGTGGTTCAACATCCTTGACTGGCGCTGGGGTCCCCATTCCATTGATCTCTTCGCCAATGCTAGCAACGCCAAGCTGTGTCGTTTCTGTTCCGAAAACCCGCACCCTGCTGCTACGGCGATCAACGCTTTCACGATCTCTTGGTCAGCAGAACACAGCTTTGCCTTCCCCCCACCTCAACTGATCCTCGCCGTCCTCCACCATGCGCAACGTACACACGCGTTTGTCACCCTGGTACTTCCCCACTGGCCCGGCGCCAGCTGGTGGCCACTCCTCCAACCCTCACCGCCAGCCTTGGCTAGCCCCATCAAAGCTCACATCCGACTCACGTACGGAAGCCAATGCTTAGCCCCAGGCACACACACTAGCGCCTTCTCTAGCTCTGGTCTACCTGATAGCCTCATGCTCGCTCTGCAAGTCACGTTTCCCTAATGTCTGCCTCCCCACCTGTATCGCAAACAGATCTAATCCCAACCCTGCAACGCGAGCTGCTCTCGGTCATGGCACAAACGCGCGCACACTCCACAATTCGAACTTACGAACCTTACTGGCAGCAGTTTCGTTCCTTCTGCATCAAGGTCAACCTTCCCTTCCTGCCAACCGCGGACATGACACTCGCCTTGTACCTTGTCCATGCAATTCGAAACAAGGCCACTCTCTCAGTGATACAACTCACATGCTCGGCCGTCAGCTTCGCTCACCGCATGATTGGGGCATCCTGCCCCAGCAATGGCCCTTTCACGTCACAAGTTCGAGAATTCGCCAAGCGACAGTGTCCCTGGCCCAATCGGACCAAGGAACCGGTCTCTTTACATCAAGTGCACGAGATGGCTACTCACTTCAACGGTGCTAACGACCCAGCCACATTCCAGAAAGGTGTCATTCCCCTTCTCATGTACGTCGGATTTTTGCGTTACTCCAATCTCGTGGCCATCAACTGGGAGGATATCCAGTTTGAGGATGACGTAATGTGGCTGCTCATCTTGCGCTCCAAAACGGACCAGGCAGGTCAGGGCACATGGGTTCCTGTTGCTGCCATCCCAGGACCCCTCTGCCCTGTCCGATGCACCAAACGCTTCATCCGGTTGGCAGGCTATGGACCCACCACTCCCGGACCCTTAATCCGGGTGTTCGGCGTGACCGCAGGTGGCGTCCCCACCAGCAAGCCGCCATCATACACCACCATACGCAACTGGTGCAAGTAGGCTTTCCAGTCCATCGGCCTGGGGGAGCATCCTTTCGGCACACACTCCTTTCGCAAAGGCGCTGCGACCGTCGCTGCCCACGGAGGCGTAGCGGACCGGCTCTTCAAACGTCTTGGCCGATGGCGCAGCGATACGGCCAAAGAAATGTACGTTACACCCACCGTCGACCAACTGGTTGCGGCCTCCCGCAACGTACAGACCCTCGGGTCGGCACCATCCCAGGCACAACATTCTCGAGCTCTTGTACGCCACCGACAGCCAACTCCCTCCATGTCTCAGGTCAACCCAGTGGAATGAGAACGAAGCCATTTGCACTACAAGTAACGAGCTTTCTCAAAATATAAATTTTTAAAGTGTTCACACTTTCAAAATTGTGTATTGTGAATGCGAAGCTGCTTGTAACGCAATCTAAGGCATCGTCCAAGCGCGCTATTCGTCCTTCTCCAACCATATAATGGCGTTGGAGCTCATTCTTCCTCCACCCACGTTTTTCATTTTTCCCAGCTCAAGTTCAATTCCCGCCCACCCAACCCGCTTCGTCTACTATCTTCAACATGTAAGAAAAAGAGTTGAAATGATTGATTACGTAAGGAGCCCAAGGCTCTATAAGTACAGGGCAAGGTGAGAGAGAATGAATGAAGGGGGGATTCAGAGGGAATCCCCATTGGGATCTCCGGAATCTCCAATTGGGTAATTGGAGATTGGGGGGATCACAATTGGGTGAGGTTGGGATTTGTGAGTACACCCCAACCCACTAGAACATTCATAACCTAAACTAGGATATAAAAGTACAAATACAAAAGTGGTATTTGCAGTCTATTTCTAACACACCCCCATAGACTGCAAACCCGATCAAGGAGCACATAGCTCCATGGAACGGAGAAGGCGATGGTGGTCAGCCTTGCCAAAAGCCTTGGTAAAGAGGTCGGCGAAGTTGCAATCTGAGGCGATGTACCGTACTAGTCAGCTGGTCAGTCTGAACAAGATCTCGGATGAAGAAATGACGAAGTTCGATGTGCTTGGTGCGAGAGTGGAACACAGGATCCTTGGTGAGGTGAATGGCACTCTGGTTGTCACACCACAGGGTGGGCGACTGCTGGGGGTAGCCTAACTCAGCGACGAGAAAGGAGAGCCAGCGTGCCTCTTGAGCAGCCATTCTGCCCGCGTAGAGCTCAGCCTCGCAGAACGACAGGGAGACTGCAGAGGACCGAGTGGAGCGCCAGCTGATGACTCCGCTACCAAGGGTGAAGCAGTACCCTTGGGAGGAGCGTCTGTCAGTCTGGTCATCGGCCCATGAGGAGTCTGTGTATCCCTCGAGCTTGACTGGAGAGGTACCACCAAGAGTGAGGATGTGAGACTTGGTGGCTTGTAGATAGCGGAGGACCCTCTTGGCTGCAGACCAATGCGAGGCAGTGTAGCGTCCGGGGGAGACGTACCGAGAGAGGACACTAACCGGGTAAGCCAAGTCTGGTCGAGTGCACATCATGGCATACATGAGTGAACCGACTAGCTCAGGGTACGGGTCCTTGGGGGCGTCAGGAGAAGGAACTGGAGGGGCCGTGAGCTGATGCTGTAGTGAGAGTGGAGTGGAGACAGAGTTACTGGAGTCCATGTCGAACCGCTTGAGAAGGTTGTCGATGTAGGACTCCTGGGAGAGGGTGATCGCGCAAGCCTGGCGGTCACGAATGATCTCCATCCCCAGGTAGTTCTTGAGGTCACCAAGATCCTTCATGAGAAGGGTGGAGCTGAGAGCAG